ATACTGAGAACTCAAACTTGTTTGGGCCCTCCTGGATCATTTCTACTGGGATGGAATTCCACATAGGTTGGAACTAGTTAGACATCTGACCCCAAAATCCAAGTAAGGTTGATCTGGCAAGGGATTCTCTTGGGAACAAATGCTCTTGTTCCTATGCTGGACCTCAGAGGAACATCTGTGGATACCACTCTCAAAAGAGACTTTCAAACACATCATGAGCTCTATTTCTCTAGAGTCATACTAGGATACAGGTAATCAGAAGGTCAGACCTATTGCTGCTGGATGCCAAGAAATATGGCAAATCTGTTGCAGTGTTCCCTAACCCCCTAAGATTTCTGTGGCTGAACAGCAAGCACTGTTTCCTTCTAAAACCTCTCTCACTCCATAAGGATCTAAGAGTATTTCAGACCAATCCTTGTCATAGTAAGATAGCCTCAGGTTTATTACTTTGCTCTTCCCAGCAGCTACTTGTGTAGGCTCACAGAAATCTGTATTTTTGATGTGTAGTTACAGTGCAGTGCAATGCAGCTGTTCACATATAAACATTCCAAGCCAAGTTATCACCAAACTATAGCCCATGGGCCAAGTCCAGCCAGCAGTCTGTTTCAGTACTGCTTTCTAGATAAGAATGGTTTTTCTACATTTTGAAAAGAAAAAAAAAAAAAGAACATGCAGTAGAGACATATGTGACCCTCAGAGCCTAAAATATTTACTCTCTGGTCTTTTGTAGAAAAGATTTGCCAACCCTTACAAACTTCAGTAGGTGATTCCCTGATTTGTAGCTGTACCAATAGCTCATATTGGCTATCATGTGAGATTGTGAAAGGGGCAGAAGCTAGTTATTCCGAGACTCTCTTATAAGAAAAAACTCTCCTCATTCCTCTTCATTCAAGAAACTCTTTGCATGTCACCAGACCACTAAGCACACAGAGATGTAAGGCATTGCTAATACTGTAAGAGGTTCTGCCAATCTTAGGAAGCAAAGGGCACATAACAAAGGGAGGTAGGTCTGCTTAAGGCCCTTCCTACAAGAGAAATCCATCATCAGAGGCACTGTCACTAATACCTATTGCTCCTTCCTACAGAAAAGCCTCACCTCTACAACACTCCTCCATCTCCTAAGAGCTTCCCAGCCAGATTTCATGAGTATCTTCCCAGCAGACCCCCATGTTCTGGTTTCTAGTTTTAAACAATACAGAGCATTGGAATCACTTGGTGACTTTTTTAAAATATCATATGCAAGACCCACTAGACCCTCAAGGAGAAGATACTGGAAATTTGTTTTTAGCAAGCTGCCAGCTGATTCACATGCATCTAGCCAGGCAGTGGTCTGCATACTAACCTTCAAAACTGCCACTCAGGCCTTCTTTTTCTCATTCTCATGGTAATGTGCCTATCCTCATCCCACTCTGGAAGTTTGGTACTAAAGTTTACAGGAGCCTTCTGGTCACAGTACCTTGACCCAAAGATACTATTCCAATGGTAGGTTTTATAAACATGCAACATGGAATAGGGACAGCTGAAGAGCAGAGGATCCCTGAGAGGCTGTCAGGCAGGCCTGGGGCATTAGATCCCTGAACCTTTTACATTTGCTTCTTATTAGGTATTTTTCCTAGTTCTGGGAGTATTAGTGGAGAGCTCAGTTTAAATGATCCCAGAGAGATTTTGACAAGAATGCCCTCTTTCCTAGTAACACTAACTTCCATAAAGTGCCATTCTTGAAACCATAATTTGCAAAATTGCAGCCCATAGGCAGACTAATACTATTCTAACTTAGAATAGCCCTGATCTAGGTCTATTCTCTAAATCAGTGGTTCTCAACCTTCCTAATGTCACTGCTCTAAATAAAGAACAGCTAAAACATGATGAAATCACACTGCTTCAATCTGTAACTTGGAGGGTATAGTTCCTTGTATTGATAAATTTTCTCAGCTAGATGATCTCCAGGGACATTCTGTTTTAAAAAGAATGAGAACTATAGGAATATCTAGTTTAGTCCTTCCATTTTGAAAGTGGCTTTTTGCCTTAAAGGCCAAAATCTCTGAGCACACTATAAAAATCAACACAAATCAAATTCTGTCTTAACAATCTTCAAGACAATGCTTAGTTTTATATTAGTGTATAATATATTTCTAAGAAAAGTTTTGAAATGTTTCATTTGAAGGACATGTTTGTTCCTGTGTATAGAACCATAGAAATTAAAAATGTTTGTATAAGCTAGAATAATATTGCTGGTAGCCAGCAGCTAACTGCTTTTAAAAGCCACATTGACTGTCTTGAGGATAACTTCCAGAGAGTACAAATCAGAGTAATACTTAAACCAAGCACCTATTCTAGATTAGACATTAAAATTTTCCAGACTATTTACTTTGTGCTAAATCAGTCTAGAAATTAAACAGTTACTTAAATTCTATAGAAAAGTACAACTAAAAGACTCTATTTCAATTGTTAAAATTTCCAAGTATAACCAACTCTGATTTATCCCATTATAATAGCAATAACCCATAGCAAAGTTCCTAGTTAAGTTTGAATATTACTTTCAGAACTGATTTTATTCAGCCTCTATCCTGATGGTAGCAAACTGGATTTCCTTTCCCTTTGTACCTACCTTCTCCATCCCACTCCACTCTACCCTGCATACATGAATGCTCTGAATGGTATTCTAGGTGGGCCCAAGCAGTGATGTCCAAAGGAACCAGGTTAAGATTCCAAACTCACCAGAATTCAAAGCAGAGGCTCTACCCAACCCAGGTGTCCATGAAGTCTATACACAGTGCAAGATGGACACCTTCAAGGCTATGTCACATATGCAACAGTTCGATTTATGTATGATTTTCTGAACATATTTTAATCTTTTCTTCATGGTAGCCTCAGGGTTACATATTTGGGGAAAAGAATGGCTTTTGGCTTGGCACCTGTAGCTCAGCAGCTAGGGTGCCAGCACTGGTGAGTTCAAATCTGGCCCATGCCTGCCAAACAACAATGACAACTACAACAAAAGAATAGCTGGGCATTGTAGTGGGTGCCTGTAGTCCCAGCTACTTGGGAGGCTAAGGCAAGAGAATCACTTAAGCCCAAGAGTTTGAGGTTGCTGTGAGCTGTGATGCCATAGCACTCTATTGAGGGCAACATAGTGAAACTCTGTCTCAAAAAAGAAAGAAAGAAAAGGATGGCTTTCACATATTTGGGAGAGTTCTGAGGGCTCTCATAGGACCTCATAGGAAGAGCACTTCCCTACCTGTGCTACATTATTTTGAGAATCTTCATTATATAACCAAATAACTGTAATTGCATAGTTACACCCCTAGGATAGGAAGATGACCTAAAGAATGGAAGGACCAGTCATGAAGACCTTGGAAGCTTCACATATATGCTAGTCCTGGTCTATATATGTGAGGGACATTCAGATGCTTCCACAATTAGAGACAGTGCAGAAAAAAAGAGCATTGTCTTGTATATTTGAGCAAGCCAGAAAGCTCATTTGCTAACCCAAAACAAACTCTGTTCCTGTCATGTGATTCCAAGTAATAAACATACTTTAATATACCAGTTATTCTAAGAACTGAAGTGGAAAGAATATCTGGCTTCTGAATTGGCTTGCTTTCCAAGTTAATTGTTTCATCAGCTCTCACTTGGTTTCTTCAGGCTGCTAACACATCTTTACTTTGGTCTCAACCTATTTTCCTTTGCCATGTTCTTTCTTTGAAGTTTTTTTTTTTTTTTTTCTCATAGACTTTGCTATGTTTTTCTTTGAGAGGCAAAAGTCCTTCTTTAGAATATATGAATAAAAATGATCATGTTACAAATTTAGAAACTTAGAGTAGCCTAAGAAAACTCTTCTTATACATGAACAAATAACCGTATCCTCCTTCAACTTGCCCTCTTAAGAAGGCTTAGGTTATTTCGGGTTTTGTTTGTTTGTTTGTTTGTTTGTTTGTTTTGAGATGGTTTTACTCTGTGGTCCTGGGTAAAGTGCGGTGGCATCATATTTCACAGAAACCCCAAACTCCTAGGCTTAAGCAATTATCTTACCTCAACCTCCTGAGTAGCTGGGACTACAGGTATGTGCTACCACCCCTGGCTAATTTCTTTATTTTAGTAGAGACTGTGTCTCACTCTTGCTCAGGCTGGTCTCGAACTCCTGAGCTCAGGTGATCTACCTGCCTGCCTAGGCCTCCCAGAGTGTAGGATTACAGGCATGAGCCACCACACCTGGCCTGGCTTGAGTCATTTTGGACTTGCAGTTTAAGCTTCTCCTGCCCAGTCTTGAGCAGCAAAGATGGCAAAATGTGCTGGAGTCAGATCAAAGGGAAACAACAAAAGCACAACAGATTGTTGTCTTATTGGCCTAACACTTATACTTCTGAAGTGTGATTTGCTCCCAGGGTACTTACAAACAAAAAGAAGAAAAAGTGACAGGTAGTCCAGTGACCTCTGCCTGCATTCCAACAGAGAATGGAATTTGAAACAAAGCCTCCAGAAGGAAGAAGTAGTAGTATAACCTTTAGTCAGATTCATAAGGGTTGGGGGTTGCACAAAGAAAACCTAAGAAACTTATAAAACTTATAAAGCTATAAAAGAGAAACTTGTTTAGGGAAAAGAGGAAGAATTAGTAGTTAAGATATAGGTATGATCGAAATAAGTGTTATTCCTGTTAATTCTAAAGTCTTCATTCTTCACAAGGCTTATATTATAGCCATTCTCCTAGAGAGGAGACAAACTGAACAGTCTGAGCACCTGCAATCTGAAAGAAGATTCTCTATCTTGAATAAACTATGATGAAATTTTAGAACCTTCAGAATTCAAACTTAGCACATGACTAACCAACCTGGGTACTATTGCACTGATACTGGTAGAATGTCCATCATTATTAACCAAGCTTGGAATGCCCTGAGCACCCACCTGAATCCCAGAGGATCCAAATACTAGCATGGCCCTCCATGCAAATGGGGTAATATAGCTTCTGTGGTCATGAGGACATGGCATTTCCTTCTCCACAGGTGATATCCGCAATGACCTGTACCTAACCCTGGAGAAGGGGGATTTCGAGAGAGGAGGAAAGAGTGTACAAAAGAATATTGAAGTGACCATGTATGTGCTTTATGCAGATGGAGAAATCCTGAAGGTAAGGTTTCCCAATAAGTTGCTTGGAACAGAGGCTAATCCTATAATAATTCTCTGTGGACTTTGTCCACAGGCCCATTTCCTTTCAGCAGGACTGAACTCAAATCACCCCATATGCAATTTACTCTTGTCTTTTCTTTTTTTGAAGGAAACCCTACAGTGTGCTTTGAGAATAGCATCCAGTGTTATATAATTTTTGTAGAAATTCATCCCGGTGTCTAACCTGAATCCCTCCTGCTCCAATTTAGACCTATTCCCTATTGTTCTGTTCTATATGTTAGTTACCTCTCCTGCTATTCTGCCTAACATAGGGCCACTTAACTTTTGGTAACTGTTACTAGGTCACACTCTGCCTTTTTATTCCTTGAGCTAATACAGAAAAGTTATATTTGCACTTTGGTCAAGGTGGGACTTAGATACTTACTTGCTGGTACCAAGTGATAAGACAAAGAGCAGGAAACTTAGGCTAATTAGTACAAAACCACTATAGTACAAATATTCTCTGTCATTCTTCATCAGAAATAAAGACCTGGAAGGCTGGTTTTCTGTTGTCAGTATGTCAGTTTTTCTCTCAGTCTTGTCATGGTAAAGTCTCTCATGAATAACAGGGTATCATTTGCAGTACACTTGGTAGAAGGCAAGTATTTTACAAACCTTGTTTCTATGTGTCGGTAATAGCCTCGTGAGGTAGACAGAATAGGAATGAGCATCCCATTCCCATTTTATAGAGGAAAAAGATAAAATAAGTCAAAATCTTCTTTGAAAGCAAGACAGAAACAGAGGAGAGTATTGAAATAGTGGTAGAAACAATGATTTATGTGTTATTTTAAAAATCCAACTCAAGGATATAGTTTACAGGGGATATACCAAAGGTAGGAGAGCTCTTAGCCGGTCACATTACTCCTTTGTGGACAGGGAGCAACTAAGTGTGTTGCCCAAAGTTTCCTTTCTTCCAGAGTGAGAACATGGGCCATCCTGAGACTGCATCTTTGTGGCAGTATTTGGGAGCTGGAGTCAGGTTAAATCTGACCCAACTTGATTATATCCAAGGAAAATCAGCCAAGCAACCTAAAATGCCAGTCTAATAATATTGAGCTGAGGAAAATTCGCAAACAGGCTCTCTACATTTTGTAATTTAATTTTTTCCCCAGATCTAGTGAAATGTTACATACAGTTCTCTTTTCCCAAGGGACTTTTTGTTTCCTTTCTTAGTAAGGATGAAGAGCCTACTTTACTAGCTTCACTCCAATTTGTTGAGAAGTGTATGTGGTTACTTCTATCCCAGGGGAAAACAAGGGGAATTGTGGCTGCTGATTTCTTATGGTATCTACTGCATATACAATTGCCTCCAGAAGTACTGAATTTAAGTCAAATTCATAGATTTGACTGGTATAAAAGTCGACCTTTGGGCAGAGGAAACTAAGTATCCTAGTGACACAGAGAAATCCAGGCACTCCCTCAAGGAAGATGACATCTTATTTTGTTTCTCTATTCTAGGATTGCATCAGCTTGGGTTCAGGAGAACCAAATAGGAGTTCTTACCACTCCTTTGTCCTCTACCACAGTAATAGTCCTCGTTGGGGAGAAATTATCAAATTGCCCATCCCCATTGACAGGTTCCGGGGCTCTCACCTGCGCTTCGAGTTCAGACATTGTTCCAGTGAGTAAGACTTCTTTCTACATTCATTTCAGGGATATGAATATAACCCTCTTCTCTCTGGAACAAAATTAAATGGGTTCTTATTAGCTGGATAAGAAAATGAGGAGTTGAGAATAAATGGTTATTCAGAGATAGACTGTCATCAGAGGCTGTTCTTTGGACAATAAAAGCAGTGATTCAAAACTATAAGTCTGGTATCAGCACTTCTTAGTATTTGACCTAATATCTGAAATTGTCCATTATCATTCTCTTTTGGGTGTTACCTTTATATCTATTAAACTCCTTAAGGAGCATCTGGTTTATCAAGACCAATAATTCAGTTTTTGTTTGGGTCTGGATAGGTGGTACACCTTAGATTATAAATGGAAACTCATTCTAGTACATTTCTCTTCATTGCTGCAGTCATGTTGCTACCTAGTTAATGAAAGAAATAAGGGACAAAAAAACGTAGAATATAAACACAAAGAGAATTTTTGTTAGAAAAGTGGGAGACCAAAATAACTAATTTATGGCTCTAATTTTACAGCAAAGGACAAAGGGGAAAAGAAACTCTTTGGCTTTGCATTCTCACCCCTGATGCGTGATGATGGCACTACACTCTCAGATGATATTCATGAGCTTTACGTGTACAAGGTAAGAGGACAGGCTGTCTTCCCCCTTTCCCCACCCTTCCCCACCTCATACATGGTTCTCAGGTTATTTTCACTGGGCAGGCAAGAGGATCCAGGGTATTTTGCTAGTAGGTAGCAACTGGATAGCTATGGGTGAGCTTTTATGTTCTAAGTGCAGTGGCCTTTGCCACACAGATAATACATGGATGTTATTTGTTTCCAACCTCTCTCTCCATTGGAAAAAAATCCAGTACCAACCTCTCTATGCTGTTGTGGTCTTGATTAGTCCATGCTGAGACCTACTTGAGATCATGATATTGTCAGCTATCACAGCAAAGCTGCCACTCAAGTTTACTTGCACACCAGGCAGAGGCCACATGCTCTACCTTCTACTGTTTAAAAGGACACAATTATAAGAAGGACTTTACCTAACAAATGCAATCAATGTAACCTGGTTCCTTGTACCTTCAATGAATCCCCAACAATAAAAAAAAAAAAAAATGCACATGAGCTGTTCTGGGAAGTTTCTGAACAGAAAGCACTCTTTTGAGATGATCTGAGGCCTAAGGTTTAGCCTCAAGAAGATAAGAACAAACATCAACCCAGAAAATCCCTGGGACCTGGTTTTGCACATGGCGTGGCTCAGGAAACATTCTCTATTCTCTACTTTTGCCTACAGTGTGATGAGAATAGCACATTTAACAACCATGCTCTGTACCTGGGCCTGCCCTGCTGCAAAGAAGACTACAATGGCTGCCCTAATATCCCCTCCAGCCTCATCTTCCAGCGCAGCACCAAAGAGTCTTTCTTCATTTCCACTCAGCTCTCCTCTACCAAACTCACCCAGAATGGTAGGTGATGGTATGTGTAAGGTGGTGCCCTCCACTGTCCTAAGTTGTTTGCTCCACATTGCTAGTGCATGTTAAGAGAGACAGAAGTTCTGATTCTTCATGCCACAGTAATGGGCTTCTTTTCATTTGAAGTTAAAGGAGTCACTCAGCAATAGCAGCCTACATAGTTTCACATGGTTTTAGTAGCTCTACAGTGTACATCCTGGGTTCATAAATGTGCCTTTGGCCTTGATCTCAGCACTAAGGAAACTGTAGTGATGCTTGCAACTAGTTCTGTTTCTCTAGATTCTACCTTGGCTAGGAGAGTCTGGGCATCACTTGACCTTGGAATAACCAGGGTTCACCATCTTTTGGGTTTGTTTGATAGTGGACCTCCTTGCTCTGCTGAAATGGAAGGCCTTCCCAGATCGGATCATGGATGTCCTAGGACGGCTGCGACACGTCAGTGGGGAAGAAATTGTTAAGGTATGTCTTCCACACAATTTGAACCTACTGCCTGAGAAAAAATCTAGACAGAACCCATTACTTTCTGATGTCAGCCAGAAAGACTCTAAAATCATTTCTGCAGATTTCTTTTTATTTTTTGGTTTAACAACTTCTTTGTTAAAAAATATTTTTATCATTTTATTTTATTTCCAAGTGAAATATAATAATTGTATGTGTTCATGGTACAATGTAAGGTTTCAATATGTTTACAATGTAGAATGATTAAATCAGGGCAATTAACAAGTCCATTACTCTACATTTTTATCATTTTTCGTATGTGGTGAAACCATTTAAATTTTACTCCTTCAGTAATTCTGAAATGTACAATGTATTATTGTTTATTATAGTCACCATTCAGTGTAATAGATCACTAAAACTTATTCCTTCTGTCTAACTTAAACTTTATACCCTTTGATCAACATCTACCCTTTCCCAGCCTCCGATGTCTATCATTCTAGTCTCTACTACTTTTATGAGTTCAACTTTTTCAGATTCTACATATAAGTGAGATTATATGATATATATTTTGGGGGGGGACCTGGCTTATCTCAGGATAATGTTCTCCAATTCCATCCATGTTGTCACAAATAATAGGATTTCTCCTCTTTTTAAGGCTGAATTCCATTGTGTATATATGCTACATTTTCTTTATCCATTCACCTGATGATGGACACCTAAGTTATTTTCATATCTTAGTTATTATGAGTAATGTTACAGTGAAATGGGACTACAGATATCTATCTCTTCAGCATACATAATGACTATATTAGTTTACATTTCCACCAGCAGTGAAATAGGGTTTCCTTTCTCCACATCCTCACCAACATGTCTTTTGTCTTTTTTATTTTTTTTCCTTTTTTTGGCCAGGGCCAGGTTTGAACCTGCCAGCTCTGGTATATGGGGCCAGCACCCTACTCCTTTGATCCACAGGTGCCACCCTTGCCTTTTGTCTTTTTTACAATAACCATTCTGACAGGTATAAGACTGTACCTCATTGTGGTCTTAATTTGCATTTCCCTAATGACTGGTGATGATGAGTACTTTTTCACATATCTGTTGGCCATTTGTATTATATATTCTTTGAGAAGTGTCAAATTAGGTACTTTTCCCACTTTTTTGATTGGGTGGTTTTCTTGCTGTTGAATTGAGTTCTTTATATATTTTGGATATTAGCTCCTTTATCAGAGATGTATGATTTGCAAATATTTTCTCCCAATTCATGGGTTGTCTTTTCCTTCTATTGTTTCCTTTGCTATGTAAAAGCATTTTTAGGTTTATACAATCACATTTCTTTTATTTTTGCTTTTGTTGACTGTGCATTTGTGGTTACCATATTTTTCCAAGTATGATTTGCTCTTGTATATAATGTGCACCTGTGTTTGGGACCCAGCCTTTCAGGGAAGAAGCTTTCATTTTAATTTTTTAATTGAAATTTTTATGTGTTTATATTTAAGTACCAGGATTTTATCATGTAAGTACTTGATATTTAAGTACTTATTTTTGTATTATGAAAGAATTAACATATTACGGTACAAGAAATTTTTTGTAACAAATAGTTACAAAACATCCGATATAAGGTACAAGAAATTTTATGTACCAATAACAAATTTATAATATTTATACATCATGGAAGGCCAAGAGAGTTCTTCATCACTGTCAATATCAGAAGTATCATCTTCTTCAATTTCTACATTACTGGTATCTTCTGAAGAATCACTTGCCTTATCCCAATACATTTCATCATGCTCAGTTACATCCATAGCATTGCTGATGCTGCATTTTTTACAATTTCACAACCACTTTCTTCTTGACAATGTTCCATGATCCTAGGATCTAATCACAAACCTAGGCAATGGATGCTTTCTTGATTCAACCCATAGGTGTTAAATCATTACCAGCTAACTGCATCTATGATATCTACTCTTTCTTTATCAGGGCCTTAAAGGGCTTCTTTACTGATACATCAAGAGGTTATAGTTGGCTGATCAGCCTACCAACTATTAGAGCAAGTTGGGTTTTCATATCTGCTGTAATTGGTTTTACACTTTGTATAACATGGTCTTTGAAGTGGTCAAAAGTAAGCAAAGCTGTTTTTTTTTTTTAAGTAATCCTCCAGGCCTTTATCACCAGACTTTGCTAAACCACATTTTCATGTCTTCTTCATGCATCCATCCTATTTCATGCATGTGGACAATAACTCCATTTGGAATCTTTTGGGGGGTTAATGTTTTTCTTCATGATCATAGGTAGTAGTTCTGTACTCCTGTACAACAGGCTAGAACAACAGTGAAATGTGTTTTCTCATGTCCACTAGTTTTAACAGCCACAGTCTTTGCTCCTTTGATATCCACAGTTCTGTTGGATGGCACATCATATGTGAATGGGATCTCATCCACATTGGCAATTTGGGACAGTTCAAAGTTATTAAGTCTTTCAAAGAGCGATAACAAAGGAATACAATTCTAAAACTTGATTCTTATAGGCTACTGGAAGTTTTGAGAAACGTTTCCTTCATATCCTTATGCTTAAGCCTTTTCTCTTCATAAGTTAAAGCACCATTTAGATGGTCCTGAAAAATGGTGGCTGTTTAGATGGCTGTTTTTTTCCTCAGGCAATCCTTTTACCCTCTTCTTGTATCATCTTGGTTGAAACAGCAGTCCTAGTTTGACACTGCTCCAGAATCCAGGTCTTCACCTCTTGCTCCACTTCTGTCCATTTTGGAGGTTTTCCTTACATTGCCTTCTTTGATCTTGGCATTTGAAAAAGCTTTTCTTCCTGTTGCCTCCACAATCTGATGACACTGTCTGTGGGAGGAGGTCTAAAATGTCTCTCGGCAGCTCTGCTGCCATGCTCTTTAGCTTATTTAATAATTGTTAGCTTAAAGCTTGCAGTGTACAAAAAATGTTTCAACATTTTCCAAGGGATATTACAATAATTTTTTTAAAAAGATCATCTAGAGGCTTGGCACCCGTTGCACAGTGGTTGTGGCACAAGCCACATGCACCAAGATTGGTGGGTTCAAGCCCAGCCAGGGCCAGCTAAAACAATGATGACAACTGCAACAAAAAAAAATGGCTGGGCGTTGTAGCAGATACATGTGGTTCCAGCTACTTGGGAGGCTGAGGCAAGAGAATCGCTTGAGCCCAGGAGTTTGAGGTTTCTGTGAGCTTGATGCGGCGCCACTATACTGAGGATGACATAATGGGACTCTGTCTCAAAAAGAAAAAGAATCATCTAGATTGCTATCTCCACCTAAAGTACATGAAGAGAAATAAGTCATAAGACAGTCATAAGTTACTATCCTTTGGCCAAAAATGCTTTCATTGCAAGTTTTTCTTAAGTTCAATAAAACTGATTACTGTACACCAGGACACATTATTTTGAATGTAGATATCATTAATACTATTACTTTCTAGAGTTATACTTTTTACACATAAGCATAAATAAAAGAATTAAAAAAATTTATATGGATATAGAATTAGTACTACCCATGTAATATGCACACTTATTTTTCTTTCAAAATACAGTATATCAAATCATAGTTTGGAGGTTTCTTTTAGTTTTTTGTTAGCATCTCTTTGTTTGCAGTTTGGGGCTGGGGCTGGTTTTGAAACTGCCACCTCTGGCATATGGGGCCGGTGCCTTACTCCTTTAAGCCACAGGTGCCACCCTGTTAGCATCTTTTTTTTTTTTTAAGTTATGTTTCACTTCAGATTTATTACCTTTTAAAGATTATATTTAAATATAAAGCCTATTTTATGATTTGTTTTTTTCCCAGAAAGCAAGCAAAATAATAATTAAAGGGGAATAGTGAAAGCATCCTCTTACAAACAATCCCAGTGCTGTGTGCTGCCTATATTCCTTTAGGTCTCCTCTCCCTTCTTTAAATCTCTTTCTCATTTTCCTTACTTTGTAATCTGTTTACCACAAACCCAGCCTGATGTCTTTCTAGCTCTACTGTCCTAATTATAAGAACTCAAAATGCTATCCATTAACTTGTGGCTGGTGCTTTTGCCCAGGCTCTCTCTTGGAGTTCATGTTAAAGAACCTTTCATTATATATCAGCTACTTTCTCCAGATACCTTTGTGACATTTTCTATGTATGGCCTTAGCAGGCTGATTTTAACACTTCCCAGTTATCTTCAGAGGGGTTTTCTGGGCAGAGTGTTTGCCCACCTGGTTTTTTAGCTAAAAAAAAAAAAAAAGGCCGTTCTTAATAGTGAAAGCTTAGCAGATGAATCCTACGCAGTGGACTCTACTGGGTAAGGTGATCATCAGCAAGACCAATGAGTGCAGGCTACAGATTAAATCTTGAGAACGCTTCTTGTCCATAATAAGCATTCTTGGCTCTACCATCATAAGTATCAAAACAATGAACACAGATACACAGTCCATACTTTATTTCACAGTTCCATCCACTCAGTAGTACACAACATGGTGTTGCCAAATGAGGAACAGTTTTAAAGTCTGTGCACCACTGTTGAATGAATTTTGTTTTAATGACTCAGATTATACAATTTTTTAAACTCTTCCCAACCTAATGCTAGTTTTGAAACTTAAGATAAAGTCATACTCATATTTTCCTTCTAAGCATATAAAAATTATCAACCATTACATAGAGAAGGTATTAAGAAGTCTGTGGTCTTTTTAAGAGTGGGTTGTATTTCTGACAAGAGAACCTCCTACCAGCATATCTAGTTTTAGCATCAATAATTTGTTTTAGCTAGCCAGAGGAGACTATAAAGACAATGTCTTGGCATTTTTATTTTTTTCACTTTTTATTGAAAAATTTCAAGCATACACAAAAGTAGACACAATAGTATAAAGAATCTACATGTATCCATCATCCTGCCCCAATCACCATTAATCCTTGCTGGTCTTAACCCATTAATACCCCAGTCTACATCTTCCTCATATTGTTCTAAAATAAACTGTAAATGTTATATAATTTAAATTGCAGTTTGACTGGAAGAATGTTGAACTTGATTTTTAAAGACTGCTAAATAATCCATCAGTATTTATTATTCTCTCTGTTTTTGTATCTCAAAATAAAAAGGTACATGTTCAAACAACAAAACTGCCGCATTTTTTACTCCCATTGACAGCACTCCATCAGCTGCATTCTCCCTTCCCCTGTGATACTAATACCCACACCAAAAAATAGTATCTGAGTGTGTGGCGGCACTGTGCCCCCGGACGGAGGGACGGGCCTCGGCGGGGCTCCGGTGCTCCGGCACCGTGGTGAGGAGGGCGCGAACAACCCAGCGCATCCCCGGCCCACTGTTTGTTTCTGCCTGGTCGCCCCACTCCGGACTCTACAGTCGGTGCGGTCCCAGCCCCGGTGGGCTTGTGTCTTTCCGTTTGCAGGCAGCGCGGCTGCGGCGGAGAGCCGGCCCAGAGCCGCGGCCGCCCGCCCTCCTGTAGCTGTCCGCAGCGCGCTGGAGTCCGCGCGGGTGCGGAGCGGGGCGTGGGCGGCAGAAGTCAGCTGCGGAGCTCCGACCCGGCTTCCTGCGGCGTAGACGCCCTCCCCGCACCCAGAGGGCGGGCTGGGCCTGGGCGGCGCCTGCTGGGTGGGTGCGCGCCTTGCGGTCTGTTGAGTTGCGGGGTTGGTAGCCCTGCGGGCAGTCAGCACGTGTGTGGTGGCGCCCCTGGAGCCCCGCCTCCCCTGCTGCAGGGCCGACGGGGCTTGCGTCGGCGGCTCTGGGACCCTGTGCAGTAGGCGGGCGGGGACAGGTCCCGAGATCCCCATGGCGGTCACCTCCGACAGGATCACGGTGGAGAACCGTCTTTTTTGGTCCAGACAGAGCGTTTTCCCCGCCGCGTCAACCCTTCTGGTGGTCCTGGTGGCCTGTGAGTCGCCACGGGGCTGGACGAACCGTCCTCTGGAAAAGTGCCGCAGGGCCACGGCCAGTGACTCAGGCCCGGGATCCCAGCTCTCTGGGGACCGGGGCAGGATCCCTGAGCTTAGGAGTTGGAGACCAGCCTGAGCAAGATCAAGACCATCTCTACCGAAAATAGAAAAATTGTCCAGGTGTGGCAGTGCCAGCAGTCCCAGCATCTCAGGAGACCAAGACAGGAGGGTTGTTTGAGCCCTGGAGTTGGGGGCTTCAGTGAGTTGTTATGAGGCCACTGCACTCCTGCCTGGGCCATCAAGATCCTGTGGGTTGAAGAAGAAAAAAAAGCAATTGTTGGGATCAAAATCGCGGCTGAGAGACCACCATACACACATGTAGAAACAAAGGAGTGCTTTTTATTCAAGCATATACGTGGGTCACTCCACCCTACAGCGTAGCTGGGGAGGGGCAGCCCCGAACTGAAGCAAGGGGAGGTTTTTAAAGCATATAGAGGAATTTCATTAGTGGTTTGTGGAGAGGGCTTGCTATTGGCTGAGCTGTTTACGGTTAGGGACTTTCTAGAGGGGTGTTGCTATTGGCTGAGCTGTTTATAGTTAGGGACTTTGGGGGGGGGGGCAGGGGTTGCTTGTCTGCTTCTGATAGACTGGCTCCTTCTGTGCTGATTGACCTTGCTCAGAAGTACAGAAGAGGGGCGTCTGTCCCCTTCTGATAGACTGGTTCCACCTGGGTGACCTTGCCCAGAAGGGGAGTCGCAGTGGCTTAGTTCTAAAATGGAGTTACATTAACCCCTTCACAATTATGACCCTTTCCTGGAAAGAATGGCAGGTTTTATCTTGAAAAAAGAGGCCTTAACTTACTGCTGGAACATGATCTTGAGGAAAAGAAAGTTTATTGTCCCAGGACACCATGTTTGCACGAGGATTAAAGAGGAAGTGTGCTGATCATGAGGAAGACCTGGGGGCAGCCCTGGCTGGCTTTAAGGTCGTCCCTTCCTACAGCCTGCAGTGGCAGTCGCTCCTAGACATATCCCTGGTGAAGCTGCAGTTCTGCCACATGCTGGTGGAACCCAACCTCTGCTGCTCAGTCCTCATAGCCAATACAGTCCGGCAGATCCAGGAGGAGATGACTCGGGATGGGACGTAGCGTGTGGCTGCACCCCAGAGCACAGGTTCCCCTGGACCGCCTAGTCTCCACAGACATCCTGTGCTGCGGGGCACCGGAGCAAGTAGGGGTGCGCCCGGTTCCTGATGTGGGAGAGGGCCACGTGCTAAACCCTGCTTCTGAACTTTCTGCAGTCCCCTTAGCACAGGTGCCAAGGAACCTTCAGGACAGCGTCTGGGGAAATGGACAGCTCTCAGGAAAACAGAGGAAGCTTTCAGAAGTCACTAGATCGTATCTTTGAAACACTGGAGACCAGAAGCCCTGGCTCCACGGAAGAGCTGTTCTCAGACTTGGACAGTTCCCATTGTGACTTGGACATGGTGCTCACAGGGATGGTGAGCAGTGCCAAGCCAGGACCCTGTGATGGGCTCCAAAGCTTGGCCCCAGCAGCCATCTCACCCCCACCCTCTACCTGCAAGTCTGACCTGGGCAAGCTGGACCACGTGGTGGAGATCCTAGTGGAGACCTGAGGCAGAGACTACAGCCGCCCCACAGTGCTCATGGTCAGTCTGCAACCTAAGGATGCCAAGCACTTGACCCACAGAAGAAAGCTCTATGTGGCCTGCAGCCAGCGGGGTCTATAAGCCCCCACATGATCATAGTGAAGCCGGATCTCCTCCCAGACTTCCTGCCTAGGGCCAGTCTTGATATCCCCCATAGCCTGGGCCCCTTGCCGCTTTTTGTGTCCTGGCTGCAGCCACTGTGGAGGATAGTGAGCCACAAACTGCATCAACCTCATTTAAATTTAGATAGGTGAATTTTTAAACATTAAAATTAAGTTTTATATGTTTTAGGCAGTATTTTGCCTTAAGAGATATTTTTTAAACTTTTAATATTTTACCTCTTTAGATTTTTTCAGCTATTTTCTTAAAAGTATATTTTTTCTATGAACATCCTCTGCTGCTACATTAGAAACTTTTATAGAAAAACACTTGCACTGCAGTTGGTGTATTTCATTTTTTGGAGGTTTAATTAAATTAAATAAGAATTTTTTTTTTTTTGCAATGAGCTTTACTATACTCCAACAGTATAAATATACTGTGAGTTTTTACTTTACATTTGTGTATGTCCCTTCTCCATTATATTTTATTACACTTAGAGCGTAATTAAAATCAAGAACTAGGCACAGCTGCTTCATTTCTGTCATTAAAGGATCTGCTGTGTGAGCCACATCTCCCTGCCTAGATGTGAGTGTAAATTATGTAGAGTTTTATTTATGCCTAGTTAATATGTAAATGTCATTGAAGATAAAGTCACTAGCTGCTCTTCAGGGACTCAGCCTTTCGAGCGGTGCCTCTGATGGGTGTTCTTACGATGGGCTACCTGTCCCGGGTAGGGCCAGTGCCTATGATTTGTGCATGAGGCTACCCAGTGCCAGGCACACATGTCTGGAAAGGTGCAGTCTGTGTGCCATTGACTGGATATGCCTGTGCTGCTCTGTTGGTACTGGGTCTAAAGTTCGAGGTTAAATTTAAGTTCAGAATAGAAGAAATCTGAATCCGTGTAATTTATGGCCCTTGTTTGTGAGGGTGCTGCTACAGGTAGTGGGGCCTACACCTGTCAGACCCTCTTCCTGCTCACAAGTTGGTGTCCCTAGCCTCATCCACCAGTGTCCTGTTTTATGCTTCTTCTAGCTTCCCTGCTTCTCAGCCAGAAAGGATGGTGTTCTTCTGTGCACGTGACTATTGTTTAATCTTGGTGATGTAAACCCCGTGTTATTAAAGCATTATCCAACAACAACAACAAAAAAAGTATCTGTAGTTAAAGCCTAGGTTATCATGCCCCTACCTAAATATACTCTATATGGGCCACAGTAGAAAGCAAGGGACTAGGCCGGGCATGGTGGCTCATGCCTGTTGTCCCAGCAGTGGGAGGCTGAGGCGGGTGGATCGCCTAAGCTCAGCCAAGTTCAAGTAAGCCAGAGTGAGACCCTGTCTCTACAAAAAAAAGAAAGAAAGAAAGAAAGCAAGGGGACTACTGAATTTTGGGGGCTCCCAGGAAAGTGAGATCTTCTCAAAATGAATTTGGCATCAGAGTCAGATTGTTTTTATTTCAAAATTGCTTTTCTGCATGTGTGACCTATGTTTTTCAAGTAATTGCTCTTTCCTTAGTGGCTTAGCACTTACCCAACAAGAAGACCCTCTCTAGGTTTGTCTTAGGGCTCTTTGGGCTATAAGCAGGCACCTATAATTCCACCTAGCTATCCCTTAGCTAAGTGGAAGCAAGGTACTAGATGATTTTAAAGTGGTATTAGAAGATCCTAAGAGATGTTGCACTTTATTTATTGGGAGCTAAGTTGACTGGTAGATGGAAGTTTGACCATGCCTTCAAGGTCCAAAGACCTGAGTCCTCTGCTTTTATGTTGTTTCAGTTTCTGCAGGACATCTTAGATACACTCTTTGTGATTTTGGATGATAATACAGAGAAATATGGCCTGTTGGTTTTTCAGTCTCTGGTAAGTCACCTTCCTGACTTTTTATTTGTATTAATTATTCCTGTCACATTATTTCAAAAAATCTAAAGGAAACAATTTATTAGGAGTCAGCACAAGTATGGATGTTTCCAATTGAAAAAGGACTGAAGAATATCATCCACACACCTCCCGCGGGCAGTGGGTGGCTGCAAAGGAGTCCCCTGCTCCTGGCAGGCACAGAACTACTTGCTAGAGCTCTGCACACCCCCATGGGTGGTGATGGAGTGGTCCTTCACTCTGGGAGGACCCAGAACTGCTGCTAGAGCCACACACCTCCTACAGGGGGTGGGTGGTCGCAGAGAAGTCCCCTGCTCCGGGCACGCACAGAACTACTTGCTAGAGCCTCGTGCAACCCACAGGCCATGATGGAGGAGGCCCCAACCTTGGGTAGGCCCAGAACTGCTTGCTAGAGCCGTGCACCCCACAAGCAGGAGAGGAGATACCCACTCCAGGGCTCCGGGTGGGCCCAGAACTGCTTGCTAGAGCTGCACGCCTCCCGTGGACAATGGGTGGCCACAGAGGAGTCCCCTGCTTTGGGCAGGCACAGAACTACTTGCTAGAG